AAGTTTAGAAAAATAAATATATGAACGGTGAATCTTGCACCAATATGCTAAGCAAGTCGGATGTCTTTATAAGCTTTTATTTAACTTGCTTCCGCTGTCTGCCATCATAGATCAAAACGGCCATGCGAAATTTCGGGCACTTCTAACTGACAGATTAGTTTAAAAGTTGGCAATATGGCATTAATTTTGACTTAATTGAATGCCTAATTAATTTATCATGAATAAGGTTAACATTTTCTGAAATTGGTAGGCAGTCTTGTACTATACTTTCTGCACTTTTATACATATATTATATATATATATATATATATTATATATATATATATATATATATATATATATATATATATATATATATATATATATATATATATATATATAAATATATATATATATATATATATATATATATATATATATATATATATATATATATATATGCGTTACTATTTAAATTACTATAAAGAAATGCTTCGGTCTCTTCATAAATATTTGTTAAGGTATCTAATAAATAATATATATATATAATATAGAGAACTGCGCTTTTAATTTTAAGAGTAGTTAATTATTAAATATTTAAATGAAATAATTTATTTTCTCCTTTTTAGTGCATTATTACATAGAAGCTTGTTATTAAAATGTTTTCTTCTCTGTTTTGTAGATTCCTTTAGGTTCCTTGCAATTAGAGTTTCTTCCAGAGTTCCCCCCCCCCCCCCCGAAGAAAGTCTACCCCCCCCCCAGCCCGAACAAAATGAAATTTATGTAGAAAATATATACTTTTAACCGTGTCCGCCACCCCCCCCCCCCCCGAAAAAAGTCTACCCCCCCAGCCCGAACGAAATGAAATTTATGTAGAAAATATATACTTTTAACCGTGTCCGCCACCCCCCCCCCCCCCCCCGAAGAAAGTCTACCCCCCCCCCCCCCCCAGCCCGAACGAAATGAAATTTATGTAGAAAATATATACTTTTAACCGTGTCCGCCACCCCCCCCCCCCCCCGAAGAAAGTCTACCCCCCCAGCCCGAACGAAATGAAATTTATGTAGAAAATATATACTTTTAACCGTGTCCGCCACCCCCCCCACCCCGGAGAAAGTCTACCGCCCCCACCTGAAAATTTCAAGTGCCCCCCCCCCCCCCCAAAGAAAAAAGACTGGAAGAAACACTGCTTGCAATGTTGTCCACAAAGATTTACAATGTAGCATATACCCATATAACATATGCATAGTCAGTTTACAGACCTCAGCAAGTTTTGAACAACAACGTTGTGTTTCAAGGCAAAATAAAACGTTATTAATATCGTAAACATTGATTGGAATCTTAGCCTGTCTTTTCGGGAAATTTCTATTGTGTGTTGTATTGTTACGGAAAGTTATATTTTGTAACAGCACAAAGCGTTGTGTCATGTTACATTTTGTCACATCACACTTTATTACTTCACAATCGTGGCATCAAGTTTCTATTTGTTTGTGTATGTTGTTACATTATATTTAGCAAAAATAAAAAGCAATGAACACGCCAAAAAACTTACTAGTTTCATTGTAGCATGTTAAAGAGGAAACCGATGTTTCACTTATACTAACATTTACAACATCACGGTAAGAGCCTCGTTGAACATTCACCATTGAAAAACTTGAAAGAATAGCATCGTTCAGCCCTACAAGTTGCGTAGCATTCCTGGGGCAATGTAAAGTGAACTAACATTAATTGAGTTAATTTTTTTTTCCAGACACACACAACAGTTTACACACACACACACACACACACACACACACACACACACACACACACACACACACACATATATATATATATATATATATATATATATATATATAAATATATATATATATATATATATATATTTATACCTAAACATGTATGATATTAAATCACCATACCTATTTTAAGATAAAGTATAGGTGTATTAATATTTAGATATTTAAAGTTAGCTAGCATTTACGTAAAATGGGTATCGTAAATGTTATTTTTATAGCAACAGAAAATGTAGAGAAAGCAAGTGCTGTATAATTTTTAAATAATCATCCACTCTACTGATAAACTCGCTTATAGGATATACTCTCGACTATTTGTACATAAAAAAAAAATCGTATTTGATTTACAGGATTTTAGATAAGAAGTGTGCTTGTATGGGAGCTTCAACAACGTCAATGAACAATTAAATATGTTTAACACATTGCAAGGCCCATTGCTCAATCCATTGGACAAATAGAAAAATAGACCTAATAAAAATTTGCGGTACTCGAAGAAGACAGCAAGAAGATTGAATACACCTGGTGGCAGTTGGATTGACAGACATGCCGAATACATTGGCGACGGTTGGAAAAACTGGCCCAGAAAATATATATCGGAAAAGCTCTTGTCCACGGTTTTTTACCCAGTAGGGTTGATAAGCGAATCTAGCTTAACCAACTGGTCTCGATGATAACACATCTGATTACGTATCTCAGAGATTCTTTCAGGCATCTGTTCTCCGCTTCCCCCCAAAAAAAAATTCTACCACCCCCTCACCACTTTTAACTTTGTCCGCCTTCCAGTAAATTTTAGTCCGACCCCTCCCCCCACCCCTACAAATATTTTAATTGCCCCCCTCCCATACCGGGAGAAAAAAGTCTGGAACAAAACACTTATCTCAGACAGTGCCAGATTATAATGTAAATGTGGATTTTGACAAATATTGAAGTGTTTATGTAAGTATGTATTTATATTACCTGGGCTGATGTAGACGGTCGCGTTTCCGTTATAGCACTTGACAAAGGAACACAGAGTGCTAAAATAAATTAACATTAATTGTATCTAAAATATAAAAAGGATAATAATAGTATGAAACATTTGTCTCGTGCAAAGCATTTTGTTTTGTTAAATGTAACTATAAATACATGTGAAATCCAGGTAGTTACAAAGAGGTGACAGAATGAAAAAACATTCACATTTTCTTGATCAAACGTTTTGGTATTGTTTGATCCAAGGATTGGACAACGTTGCGCATTTTCGACATTGTTATTTGTAAAGGTCATGGTTGCTGAACCGAAAACTCCCAAGTTCCAACCGTTGGCATATAGCTGGGACAGCAACCCATTGTGTATAGAAAACTTCATAGTTAAACAACTGCTGTTTTGTGGATTTTCTTCGATTGGAAGCTAATACATAATGAAAAGCTGTGTAAAATCGGAGTCAACTGCCTATAGAACGCTTAAAAAGTTGATACGAAATCCTTCATCGATTGAAGAAAGTATCTTCTAACATAATAAAGAAGGAAAAAGTAGAGTTGATATAATATGTATTTTGTTTTAAAAATGTAAAAATGTATCCGAGAATAATACTATTCATTAAAAACGGTTAACTCTAAAGTCTAAAGGCAATAAACGTTGTATTGTTTTCTACTAATGACCTACCATCACACTTTGTTGGGTCTGTGGTATTTACGGCAAATCCAGGTCTACATGAACAAGTGAAGCTTCCGTCAGTGTTGGTGCAAATCTGTTGACATGGGCTTGGCTGAGCGCTGCATTCATCGATGTCTGAAAGTTAAGTTTGCAGAAAAAAAATACATCATTCAGAAGACGTAGTCATGTATTTTGGATCAAGTAAACAATATTTTTTTTCCTAAATTTTGAAATAAAATAATTTTGTGCTTTTTTTAAAAACAAAAGACCTAAGAACATACTGTTTTAGTGTCTGAACTAATATGTATTGTGTTCACAAGAAATCATTTAATTACGAGATTGGGCTATATCTATCTATATATATAATTCTCTTCTTCGAGCCGTTAGAAAACAAGCTGCAAACGCTCTCCCTACCTCCCCACCCCTACATGGTTTTAGTGAGCTGTGTTCACTCTAAATGTTTACAAGCAGAGCCAACGATTTTAAACGTAGGGGGGGGGGGGGGGGAGGAGGGGGGGGGGAGGGAAGGAAGGGGGGGGGTTATGGTCCTTAACGAGCTACTAATAGTGTTTTAAAGAAATATTTTCAGTGTCAGCGTTGGTACTGTCGAATTCAAAAATTATGAATTATTGAAAATTAGAAACAACTAAATAGCGGCGTATGTTATGCCGCGGGCCGGCTCGTACTATATAATGGGATGTAACATTAATCCAACACATTTGGTGTATCTTTTCACATGGTAGAGTTTGTATTATTTACAAATTCGCAGTGTTATAACGAGTTCTATACTAATTATAAATGTTAGTAAACTTAAGAGACAAGCAATGATGTACTTTTCTCTATAGCTCTCTTAACGTCACACGGTGTGGGGTCTGTGCTACTTATAACGTATCCAGCATTACATGAACAGGTGTAGCTTCCAAAGGTGTTGGTACAAACCTGTTCACATGGCTGAGCATTGCATTCATTGATGTCTGAAATGTGTTTTTTACGCAATAGAAAACAGTGCTCTTTATCAAATGATAAATGCAGCTCCTTATAGTCTTAGCTGACCTATCCCTATTTTCGTTTAGTGCTATTCGAGCTAGCATTAAAATTCTAAAACCTTAAGTTTGGTATGACTGCATTAAAAACTATCGCCACGATTCAGTATCACACAATAACATAAATTAATTTTTTCTTCTTCTTCTTTAATCTAGTGTTGGTAGTGATTCCCTCAAACGCAATTCAGTATGACGTATCAATTTGCTCTGCGCCGCATTAACCGTTGACTATGATTTTGAAAGCTGTTTTTTTCATTTTCTACGATTGTCTTTGTCCAAACAAGATATAACTAGTAGGCTACAGCTGTTTCTCTTTGCAAAATTCGCAAAAGTTTTTTGCGCATTTTTCCGTTGCGCATCTTTCTATGAAGCGTTTCAATGACCTAAGCATATGCAATGATATTATGGCCAGCGTGACTGCCTGCAGCCTTTACTTTCCCTAACGTGAGTCAAGTTCCCATCAGAGTTGAGTGGACTCAGTAACATCGTATAAGCACGTGCCCGATCGATTAACTAACCAATTAAAATGTACCTACATTCTTACCTAGACATTGAGCAGGGTTTGTGGGACTGACGACATACCCTGGCCTGCATGAGCACACATTGCGTCCTCTCACCATCCTCGTAATTTGTTGGCAAGGACACTTGGCTGAAGTAGAATTAGGTGTAAATGTATAAGTGTATGTACTGTGGCGTTAGACTAATTCATAAAAGCACCTTCTCTGAAGAAAGTGTGTTCAAATGACTTCTTGCCAAAATTGTTGTAAGTCTGGAATACCTATTATATAACGTTTTATAGCCCAGTAGCTGAAAAAAAACCGTCCAGAAAAATTCTTTTTCCAAAATAAAAAAAAAATCATTCAGCTACAGTAAAATCACGCTAACCATTTTTAACCTAAATTGGAATATTACGAATATCATAAAGTTAGGAAGGAAGAGAGTGGCCTAGAAGTAGCGAGCTATTCTACTAAATCCGTGTTCGAGTCAGCAGACATTTTTAATACCGCTAGTAAATAACGTTAAATTAGTAATGTTTTTTCAGCTTTATTTATAATTTCAGATTTGTTTTTCTACGTGAGTTAATGAATATAATGTACTCACCGTGTGCGTATGCAACACAGAAGAGCAGTGCAACAGCGAGGTTTATTTTTGTATTAGCAACCTTCATCTTGTTACAATGAATAATGTGATATAAATATATCTGAGAATGAATGAATAATAAGTGATAATAAACGTAATAAACATAGTGCAGGTGAAATAATATTGACAAATGTATTAAATACTTTTACTAGAATTTAAGAAGTAAGCCACGTTTTTCTTTTTAGTTTTTACTAATTTATTATTATATATCAAAAGAAAATCATTTATTTTCTCCTTCATAGTATATTTAATTCACAAAAGCATTAATATGGATTTTAAAAATAATTAAATAAATTTAAAAAACAAATGGCAAATAGACAGACAGACAAAAGAACGAAGAAGCAAGTTAAAAAAAACAACTTGTAAATAAAAAGGACGCAGACAGTGTTTATTTTTTTTTAAGGTGAAATTTAGTGTGTTTTGTTGCGAATTTATATAGCTGGAAGATAAATGACATGGTTCAGTATATTTTTTAATATCAATTATAATTATATTTTTCTAAATTCGTTCGAGGGCGCATTGATGGGAGGAATGGAGGTTTAAAGAATAAGTGGCCGAATGGTGTTATTGTTTCCTGTTTTCAAGTCAAATGAGTAGTATCCAAACTTTTTCAACAGTTAAAAATTCTTCAGTAACATAACAGTATTTTAATTAGAACTATTGCTATTACCGTTTTCCTTTAAACCCTCATAATGATGATGTAAACCGCTGCACTTTTTAAGTGCATTTTAATAACTATAGGACGATTGAATGACGTTCGTATTAATTTTCCAATACTTTTGTAAGTTCAAAATATGAAAGTAAAATGTGTTTAAAATGGTAACATAAGACACTACATTAGGAAATAAACGACACAAACCTTTTGAAATGTCGGCAATAGTACCGCTCCAATTCGACTTAATTCACAGCCTATCAGTTAACTTAAACCAATCTTGATTAAATTAAAAAAAAAAACTAAACTTTCAAATTATTACATTCGATTCTTCAATATTTTTAAAATTCGAATAAGTAGTTTTAATGCTAGCTCATTATTTAATTTTCATTATCTCATTCACTTCTTTGAACATAAAATATGAATTTGATAAAAATTATATTTATCTATATATATAATTCTCTTCTTCGAGCCGTTAGAAAACAAGCTGCAAACGCTCTCCCTACCTCCCCACCCCTACATGGTTTTAGTGAGCTGTGTTCACTCTAAATGTTTACAAGCAGAGCCAACGATTTTAAACGTAGGGGGGGGGGAGGGGGGGGGAAGGAAGGGGGGGGGGGGTTATGGTCCTTAACGAGCTACTTATAGTGTTTTAAAGAAATATTTTCACGAATTCACAAATTATGAATTATTGAAAATTAGAAACAACTAAATAGCGGCGTATGTTATGCCGCGGGCCGGCTCGTATTTTATAATAAGAGTCAATCAACGAGCAAAAGTCTAAAGGGAAATAAACTCACCACAGCCAATCAGCAGACTAGTTACAAACAGCAAGGTTCATCGAAAAGTGAAGCATCTTTGCTGATGTATACAATATATATTGACTCCTTATCCAATCCAATCACTTGATGAAAACAAATTAGCTGGCAATAAACTTACATAGGTGACGCCACTTGTTAAAATATATTTTTAAATAAAAAGAGCATTGCGCATTTATATTGCACAACTTAAAAAAAAAACAGGGAGTGATCTTCCCTAAGCTTTCCTGAATATTCTAATATAACACTACGGGGGATGGCAACTCGGGACATAGACAATATTTTAAATCCATTTTTATTAATTAAACTTTTTAAAATAGCATAGAATCTCGTACAAAAAAGAATTGCATACAAAGTCAACGTCAAATAATATGTGTATAATAGTGCGGAATATTATTAGTACTTTATAAATTCACATGCGTTTTTTAAGAAATCAGAAA